TATATGGATTTGTTGGTTTACTGTCATTTGCGCGTGAATGTTCAGGGTGTGCCTAGTGGTTGAAAATTATGAAGAGTAAATATTTCCCCTTATTTTCCACATATTCATCCATTAGAAATTTGATCGTGGTCACGTGTTTTAACACTTCAATTTATTCCCTAATTAGCTCTACGAATGATTTTGAGCACTTCAAGGTGTTACGGATTACCGACCGCATGTGTAGTCTAAGGTTTATTAACAATTTCAGCATAATTACCTTATATCCGAGATGCACTAAGTCCACAGATTTATTTCCCCGGTTGCGAGTATCGTGCAATAAATCTCCAGCACCAAGGAGGCGGTGGCTTCACTGCTAAGAAGCATTATAACAGTCAGGGAAGTGAGCGTATATTCTGATAGCCAAGCGGCTATTATGGCCTTGAATTTGTTAGAAGTGCGCTCTAACTTGGTTAATAAATGTCTACTCTCTCTTTCGGCCGGAATACTTCTACATTAGGCTTATTTGGGTTCCGGGTTACAGCGACATTGAGAGGAACTGCGTGGCTGACGAGCTGGCTAGGGAAGGAACCCGTGAAACGTTGTCACCGGATAAAGAGCGGCTGGGAGTGCCATTGATCACTTGCGGTACACTCTTGGATAGATGGGCCTCATGTCAGCTCAGCGAGTGCTGGACAAAAACTACGACATGCGCGATCGTAAGGTCCCTTTGGTCGAGGGTGGACCGAGGGTGGTCAAGGGCACTTCTCACACTCACAAAGCCACATCTCTCCTTTCTGGTGGGGGTGTTAATGAGTCTCTGTCCTATCGGTATTCACGCAGTAAGGCTGAACATTCTACCGGACCCCTTATGTCGAAGTTGTCTGGAAGAGGATGAGGTGGAATCATCTCAACACTACCTCCTTAGATGCCCAGCGTTTGCGAGGCGAAGGTTGAAGTACTTTGGCTCTCACTTTCTAAATAGGCCCGAGGAGCTCTGGTGCATTGAGATCAGCCGTATTCGTAAATATATAATCGGCTCGGGGCGTTTTAACGATAAAGTTTAGGGGACCGTTCCAAATTGTGGTATCACAAGGGACAATCTTCTATTGTCTAAGTCATCAACAGCTGTACGCTGAAATTTAGCAAGCGGTCACATACCTAGAGAATGGGCTGAGGCTATTGTAGTCTTTATAGTTAAGTCAGACAGGGTATCTCATGTCAAACTCAATTACTCCAGGCCAACAAGCCTCAGCTCTTTTTGTCTTAAAATTCTAGAAAGACTTCTCGACGTCCATATCCGATAGCATCTTTTGTTAACATGCTAATACTAAAGACGAATCCGTTGACACTGCGATAAATGAAATTGTTTTTGAATATTTAGAAGGTTCCTCAGGAATCTTTCTTGACATTGAAGGTGCCCTTAACAATACTCTTCCAGACGCCGTGAGGTCATTTTCTCAATTGTGTGCTGGAACGGCCGCTGGTGTAATTTATACGACTCTTTCTTGAGGGAATACCTATATCCCCGGAGTTGCGAGATCCGTTCGTAGCCAGGTATGCAGCTAGAGGTAGCCAAAAAACGCAGAATGTGATTTGCACCCACAACAACAGATAAGCATCTCCAAACACTAAGCGAACTTTTGCAGAACGCTCTCTGACTCGTAAATAGCTGATCGAGCGAGAATGGACTCAGGGTCAAAGCCAGCAATCCTGGAATTATTATATTCACGAGGATATATAAGATAGCGTCTTCTTAACCACCCTCTGTAAATGGTGTGGAGCTTAGACTCTCCGGCGGAATAAACAACACAGCACAATTCTTGACCGAAAGTTGAACTCTAAAAGGAACCTTAGAGACCGCTACACTTATAAGGCAGGGGTGGGGAAGCGATGGGGTCTGTGACCGCGTATAAAAGACTGGATGTAGAAAGTGGTTGTTCGACCTGTCCGTTTCCATGGGATCACTGTATGGTAGCCGGCTCGAGGAAAGTCCACTTATAGAAATACACTGTGGGGTTGCAATCATATTAACAGCGGTAGCCCTGCAATCCTGCCCTGCAACGCACACATGAAGAGACCATAGCTTCGGTCACTTTAAAACTCTGGGCACCATTCCAGCAACCTTGCATGGACTAGACTACACCAGTCCAATTATTTGCTTCGATTTGCAGGTTTTATAAAAGAAGTCCAGACAGCAGCTGCTGGGTAAACCGCGCGGCTTCCTGACCACTATAGCGTTTTCACGGCCGAATTAACAGCTCAAAGGGAGGATGCCCTATGACTTACAGCCAAGCAGCGTTAAATCTCTACAGTGCACCAAAACTTCCTCGACTAGTTTCAGGTGTTCAGCGCTTCTCAGTTTTTCCACGTGTATTCGAGCCAAACGTCGAAAACCTCAAACCCTGGTATAGAGTTATACGGAAAATTTGGTCCATTCTCAAAATTCGAATATATCGTTAAGATTTACTACAAGAATTTTATTGCGGAGGCTGTCAAGATTCCAATTGAGGATGATACTACTTGGTCCATATTAGTGAACGCTCATAAACTGTTTGAGTTCGAATTATAATAAAACTAAAACCTTCCTTAAATTGAAAAAAGCCACGAAAACCTGGAAAGATAAAAAACTCTGATCGAAATGTCGAAATTTATTTGGAAAAGCTAAGACTTCCTTGTGTTTCGAGAAGTTGTGTAAAAATTCGGACATTCATAAAAGTTCAACAAAACAAACCAGTTATTTTTTTTAGTTATTTTTTATTAGTTATTCACAATGGTAGACTGAGCCAAAACCACCTAATAAAATTTATGGTTTTTCTTCAAGATGAAAACCTTCTTAATTTTAATCGTAGGATAATCTCGGCCAAACACTAACATATTGTGTAAGCGCCAATCTATTACATTATTATGATCTTTTCAATGAAATGAAGAAGGAATTTGCTCGATTTGTATTAGGGTGCCTACATAATTAAAACGCAGAATATGAGCAAATATTACGAGTTACATTAAAATTGTGACACACATACATACGTATCTTAGAAAATGCATTATCTTCATATTTGTATAAAGAACAAGACTCCAACGCGAAATTGCATTTAAATGAAAATTTAAAAAAGAGATACATACTAAAAAAAGTTAAAATAACCACTCGTGCTCATACACCTACGGTGACCATATTAACCAACGTAAAATAAAGGGATTTTTTTTCAAAATGATTTGGAATACATACATACAACTTGTATGATAAAATTACCTTACCCATATTGTAATTTAAATCAAATATCTACCAACTAATTATATTATTTAATTGTACAAGTTCCCCTGCTCTAGGACTTCGCCATCCTTTGCTACCAACATCCGTGTACCATAATTCATAATTCAATTTTCAACCAATTTTTATTAAAAACCAAAAAAAAAATATTTATTTTGATGAACATTTTTTTATAACGTTTCAAATTTTTCTTTTGTGTATTTTTTTGTTTTACGAGAACCATACAATTGTTTTCAACTAGCTTTTGTTATGTAACATTTACTAACTGAAACAGGAGAATAAATTTTCTTCAAAATTGCTACTTTTTCTGCATTTTTCACTAAAAAATTTAATGTAATCAACTAAAAATTCAGAAATCAGGATCAACTGGTCTCTTGCAAATATTGTAAGCTTTCATAAAAAAAATTAAAATTAATCAAAATAAGTGAAAAATGAAGGCTTCAGTGAATTACGAGCACTAAGTTCCACTTTTGAACTAATGTGCAGCAGGGCGTTTATTGTTCTCGTTCAGTGGAATCGGGAACTCAGCGTGCAACACGATCCTGGGCACAACTTTCCCTGTGCTTGATAGATTGTACAAAGATTACCGATTAAATAGAAACCCTTAAGTGGGGTGCGAAACAAACTGGCGAAGGTTTTCATTATATTTTATAAGGGACATTTTTATTTTTCATATTCTGCGTTCAAAAATTTACCTCTGAAAAATGCAGAGCCGATTTAAAGTATAGTTTCAGAAATAAAGGACAAAAGGCGTCCTTTTAAAAAAAAATAAAAATTAAGGACAGGGGGTTAAAATAAAGGACTAATTTTTTTTTCGTCTGCCGTCGCCTGAAATCAGGATTTTTTGCCACTTGCTATGACTACACCTTAGAAATGTTCGGACTTGTTGAATAAATTAAATCGTTAAAAGTAACTGCTTACTTGGGCGTATACGCCAACGCTTTTCCTACCAGGCTAAAAAATAAAAATAAAAAAAATATTAAAATACCAATTATATTCAACAATTTTATAATGAGCTCGAGGCCATTTTTTTTTTTTAAATGAAAAATTTATTGTGGAAAAGCAACAACAATTTGAAAAAATGGTAGAAGTGATAGCTATTTCGGAAATCACCACATTTCCTCATCAGACTTCTTTCAGTAGGATACCAGGAATACCAATTATATTTAAAATTTTACGGCACTTGAATTTATTAAAAAACGAGAAGATCTTAAATTTGACTTATAATTTACCAATTGAGACTTATGAAAAACCTATTTACCGGAAAATTGAGCTGCTTTTCTCAAGCTAGCTGGTTTTTGCTCACTAAAAATATCCTTTTTCACTAACACACTCTCACGAGATAGCTGTAGCAGTACCTACATATATCAGTATTAGTGAGCGCAATATTTTGCTAAGCCCCGCCCTTAGCATTCACATCCAGCAAACGAATACTCTTCACCCTCTACACTTAACTGCTCTGCCGAAAAGCACATCTGTAAATGCATAGAAATGAATGTTTGTTGGTGCCACTACTCAGCACACTACAACTCAACCCTCGGAACCAGTTTTCCCAATTCGATTTATGAGCACTCGAATTTGTTGCACGCCTCACACTCACTTACACCAAACCTATCTACAGCCAGCCAGTCAACCAACCAGCCAGCCAACCTGGCTGGCGATGTGTAAATGCTAAGCAATGTCAGCCTAGGCAACCTGAACGGCCGGTTTGGTCTTGCCGTTTGTTTATTGCCACCTTTGCGTTGTGGCAGTGTACTTCGTGTTTCACTCGAGCTGCGGCTACCTGGTTTTACGGTTCATCAATCAGCGCGACATCTGAACACTAGACGACGCAACGCTGCGTCTGTGTCAAGTTGGAATTTAACGGTTACGGAATTTTGACGGGTCGACGACATTCAAAACAAAAAAGAAGCGATTATTGAGATAAGATTACGCACGTGAATTTGGCGAAGCTCGAAAGCGTCGGCGTTTCGTTAGTTGCTCAAATTTCGCTACAAAAAAAAAACAAACTCAATGGCTTCATGACGAATCTGAGGATAATGTGTGGTTTTAAAAATTGTAAAAATTCCTTTTGTGAATTTGATTAACAAAAGAATAAATAAAAAACAAAAATAGTTTCTGTGATTTTATGTGCTTTTAACTAAGAGAGGAATAAATTAAAAAAAGAGTTTTGTAGTTATGCGGAGTAGTATTTGACCCTGTCGGCAGTATTGGTGGAGAGTATTTACGGAAATTTGTGACATAAATACTACATACTTAAATAAAAAAAGAAATATTACTAGAACCAAAAAGTAAATAAATAAAAAAATGGATATAAAAACTACGCCACCACCCTCATTAATCAACAGCCGTTCCACCGCAACGCCACCAGTCAAAAACAGCGCCACGTCATCAGCACCCGCCCCGCCTGTTGCCACCTCTACGGGCGCCGTGATGAACAGTGTCAGCGCTCTTAGCGGCATCTCCAGCATGCAAAAGCAGACATTTCAAAATATTTTCGAGAAACTTGTTTCCAATAATGGCGAGAGTGGCAAATTTCCGCCGAAACAACTCGAAAATATTCGTCATTTGTTGGAAAATGTGCGCGATTCAAAGCATCTGCAGCTGATTGTGGAAAAGTTCAAGAATTTGGAGCAATTCGATCTGAATTTTTTGAGCGTTGGTAATAATAACTCGGTCATTACAGAAGGTATTAAAATGTTTTTTTTTCGTAAAATTAATATGTTTGTATATTTTTGTAATACCGCCGGTTTCACAGTCGCAATTATAGTCTGTTCTGCTGTTCGTTATCGTTCAAAATTTTATTTCCAGTTAAAGTAAATTTTACTTTTATGTATATCTGATGGTATTACTATACTGCCTACAGTATTAGGGCATAATATTTAGTAAATCTGCGTTTTTAGTTTTTGTACCAGGTAGTCAAAGGACTATAAATTATTATATATTTCCAAAGTTTGCACAAAATATGGATATATGAGTATCAATTAGAAGAAAATTTCAAAGCAAAATATTAATTAGAACTTTTGTTTTCAATTATCCTTTTGGAACATGTTCAAAATGTCCTGCAAGATTGAATGCATTTTGAAGAATTTTAGTTTAAATCCTATTAATATATATAAGGATATTGAAGGATAAAATTGCAAAGGATATTTTAGTTTAATCAATTTTTTCGATGCCCTTGGGAAGAATCCTGCCGTTCTATTAAATATGTAAAGATGCAGATTTACTATAAATGCGCTAAAATATGGGACACATATCGAATTTTTCGCATTTCCACAGCTTTCAAGTTATTAATAAAAAATTTTTTTTCATAGATTCTTGGGACAGTCTAGTGTACATGCTCGTAATTAGGATTTAAAGGACAATTCTCATTCGCCCCAAAATATCAATTTATAAAAAAATCCCAATTGCTCGATTAGTGCTTAATTGAGTGCTAGTGAATGCATTTTTTCATGTTGTATATGTTTAAATTTGACTTCTGGTCCTCTTTCACAGCTGATATTTATTCCATCAGGCATGGAAAATTGAATTTTAAAATCTGCGGAAAAACTTTACCTAAAAATATGTAGATAAATGAATCCCAAAAGTATAAATGTATTTTTATAAGTATATATGAACGTCTGAACTCACATAAAAAAATGGCTATAAAAAGAAACTCTCCGAACATTTCGAGACAATACTATATTTTCGAAAAGGCGAATCATTTTCCTCCGAGTTCTTCGATCTGATGTTTTAAAAAGAAGTTTTTATGGCGTTTAAACTGCAGTTACGTTATTTTGACCACCATTTTGTATCAATTGTTATGCCCCTGCACAAAGGAGGGCGGCCCACAAAAGAAAATGCGTTGAAGTGTGAATAAATAAATAATATACAAAAAACTTTTTAATATACAACGCTTTTATAAATGGACTAAAAAGTAGAAAATAATATTTCTCAGTCCCATAGAATTTGTTTTGATAACTTTTGATTTTGAAATTTTAGCAAAAGTCATTATAAACAATCTATGAAATTGAAAATGAAAAGCGTGGGGCGCATGTAATACACTTGAATTGATATGAAAAGTAATATATGAATGTATGTATGTGGGTATATGAATAACGACCGCTTAAAATCGATTTCAAAGTTCTACTTTCGCTGTAGAAATTTTAGGTCTACGTTATGTAGTTTGACTATTGTCAATTAAATCGAATGCTTTGTATTGCATGCGCTCCACGTTTTTCATTTTCAATTTCATAGATTGTTTATAATGACTTTTGCTAAAATTTCAAAATCAAAAGTTATCAAAACAAATTCTATGGGACTGAGAAGTATTATTTTCTACTTTTTAGTCCATTTATAAAAGCGTTGTATATTAAAAAGTTTTTTTTATATTATTTATTTTCTACTTTTTAGTCCTGTCTGAATAAAATTTTGCAATAGATATTAAAATAATTCAACGATATTAATAGAAAGGTGCACACACATGCATTTACATATGTATGTACATACAAACGAGCACCAATTAATTTTATTTAAAGAAATGGCGTGTCGTCTATTTCCGCTGTAGCAAACGTAGTACATAGGGCGACATCTAGATGTCATCTACCTCGCCCTATTCACTACAGATGTCGCCCTATGCACTATGCTTTTTTATAGGAACTTTTCAAAGCAAAGCTTTATGGTGTCGGACACACAACATTGAAAGTTTCTGGATCCACAACATTGAAAGTTTCTGGACACACAACATTGCAAGTTGATAAAAGCGTTGCAAAATACGAACTGATTTCCTGAAAAGTTAGTTGACTACCTCCTAAACTTACCTAAAATTGTGTATCTGTACCGAATGTATTTTCACAGTAAATAACATTGAAAAGCAAACAAGCAAATGGATGTATAGAATTGACACCAACAGCCACGCTGTCGAGTTTAAATAGCGGCAAATCAGCTGCACTTGATAGTAGTTGGTTGAATAAGGAAAATGAATTAGCAACAAGAGTTTACGGGATGTACATAGCTCAGTGGTTAACGCTTCTGACTTTGAACATCGAATTCGCAGGTTCGATCCCTGCTGAAGTCTAGAAAAAAGAAGTCTGATGAGGAGATGTGGTGATCTCCGAAATAGTGCTATAACTTCTACCGCTTAGACTTTGTTGCTTTTTCAATTTTTCCTAATAAACAATCGTGGTACAAAGCTCAATAAAAATATTAAGAATAAAATGTTAACAAGCCACAATAACATTGACAAATTAATATTATTCGTTTCATTCCCGGAAACTTCTCTCTGGAGCAGCAAACGCTAAAATACAAACGACAGCATATCGACCCGTTTCTGCGTTAAGCTCGTATCTGCAATAGAGTCGGACTAGGGATGTAAGCAAAAAATGCTTATTTTCTTCCAGTAGGATACAATAAAGGTATTTTTTACTTAATATTTCTGATTCTACTAATATTATTGAGCACCCATATTAAGTTTTTGTTTTAACTATTTTCAAATAGTGGGACGCTTAAACTGTTGTTATAAATTGTAATATTCGTAACCGGACGATATCTATAATACAAACGCAATAACTTAACTCTTTCTTTCTTTAATCACGGCAGAACATCGGCGTGTACAATCGTATCGCTCTTCCCTTGAGTATTGACCCTCTAACGCAATATTTTTTGGCGGGATAAAATTTAAATTTTTTTTTTAATCTTCGTTCCCAGCCGAAGATATGTTTCATTTAAAGAACTTCTAATATACACACCTTGTGTTATTTAATTCTTACAATCCTTTTCCAACAGTTTTTTGGGGTCACTCGAGACCCCATTCGACTACTTGTGTGATTTTATTTATGCACCCCATTAAGGGTTAAGTTGGGCAAAGCTGCGCCAACACTACGTGGCCCCTTAGAGACCGTTAAGTACCAGGAGTAATATTGAAGAACATCGCAGTCCTTCAAACTTTAGTATTTTGTTGTACTCTAATTTGGTGGCGGCTTCCAACTAAGGCAAAATGCGTGTTTCTAGAAACCTATTCTGGGTCTGCTAAGGACAGGACAAGAACTCTGGCGTCCTCTCTGTAGAGGGATATGAGAAACATCATAAGCTTGATAAGTATCATACGCTCACCACATAATCCTAGACACTTTGCAACTTTGTGTTTTGGCCAGATCATGCCAAGTCGAGCTGCTGTTTATCCGCTCGTTGTGACGCGGAACTTTAATGAGTATACAACGGATATATTCCGATTCGACTGAGAGAGAGAGAGCAGACATTCCTTAATCAAGATAGAGCGCACCTCCAACGAACTTAAGGCCCCGATAGCCGCTTGGCTCTCAGAATAAACAAATGCTCCGTGTCTGTCATCGCACTCCCGAGAAGTGACTCCATCGCCTCCATAATAGCAGCCACTTCCGATTACAGCAGGCTGGAAGCCTTGAACTTAGTACTGATGTAAAGCTCTCGACAGAAGACCCCTTCACCAACCCTACCGTCTAGTTTCCATCCATCCGTGAAGAAGTTCACTACTCCCCCTCTCCTGAAGTTCCGCCCGCTCCTAGGAGCCACTTCAGTGGCGCTGTAATCCATGCGATCAGGGATAAAAACCAAGCCACCCAGAACTCCAGAGTGTCCAGTCCTTAAGTCGGCCAACCAATCGATTTTCCTGAGTCTTGACGCCTTCTCTTTCCAAAGGCCAATGATGGCTTCCTTGCCCTTTCTTCGATGTTTGGCATCCACGACAACTTCCTGTCACGGGTGAAGCCCAAGTACTTAATGTCATTATATGTCAAACAGCAGGTAGCGAAACATATAACTAAACAAATTTATAGTCCACGTAAGTACGCCTAAAATTTAGTCAATTTTGATGGCCTTCGAAATGAATTTGCGCTTTCCTTTTTAATGTGGCACGTTTTACCAAGAGCATTAAAATCTACTCATAAATACATTTTCATTTTCATTGTCCACTTTGTGTAGGCAATAAAGCATTCAACATAAATAAACAAATTGCAATACCAATAAACAGTATTAGTAACCGTAAAGTTCCTCTGATCTAATTAAAGCAAATGTGTAGTGAACACGCTCACCAAGGCTAATGTACAAACTGGCAAATAAAAAAATTTTAGTCCTATACACATTAAACGCACGTTTGCAACCCTAATTGAATACATGTTGCGGGCTAAAGCGACAAAAAAAATTTAAAATTATTGCAAAAAAATTTTGTTCGCAGTTATGTTGCACTCTATGTACTCGTATTTCGAAATTATGCCGCTCACTTACACTCCATATATGTAGGCCTTCGCGCTTAGTATACATCAATGCGTTCTAAACTTTAGTTACCAACATACTTACATATATTGGCTTCGTTTTTATAGCCATGAGCCAGCTGCAATGCCGGGCCGCTATATCTCACCGTCACTTATTTACCAACAATTTAGGTCAACAATTAGCAATTTAAGCACGCGCCGCGTAATGTGCACAAATCCGTACGCGCAAAAACACACTCACAGAAAAGCCTGTCAGTGTGTTTGTGTATGCACAGATCTCTAAAGCTATGCACTTTTGTATCCCTATAGATATGCAATTACTAGGTTTAACACTAGTCCATTTGTAACCATGACAGGACCTTACTAAAGATGATGTTTTCGCATGGATTAAACGAAGATCGCTTAACCAAATTTTTAGTAATCGATTTCTAGAGATTTTTTAATTCTGCGCCGCCTCTGGCAG